CGGCTGGGACTGCTTTAATTTTGGCGGWTTTTGCATTCTGCAATTATCAAATGATCTTGTTCAGTTTCTATCATTCAATTTAATGATTCACTAACTATTTTCTGTTGCGGTAATGTACAGCAAGCTTTCTCAGTGCTACAAATGTTTATCCAGTTTCTACGTTGATATGTAATTCCTGAGGTTAGACACCGCACGACGATCTCTATCAAAAGCTTCGAGTTTTAAGTTCTGCCGTTTTGCATGTTTACATTTCGTTTGCATGGCTCATGGTGTTTATAACGTAACTTCTTTAGCATTATGCAATTACTTCGTTAACAGTTTTATCATGTTCTTGAATATCAACATCGTTAATCATCGTTAATCTTCTGCATTGCTTGACAAACACGTCACTGGTTATATTTTAGACATGTTGCTCTTCTTCGTCATTGGAATATCTTCTTCTTCTTCTTCTCCCCTCAGGCTCTAATGGCGGATTATTTGGCATTTGTCGCAGTTCCATTGAGTTTCCTCTGTTCTCGTTTCTGTCGGTTTTTTCTACACAGTACCTTCCTTGCTCCTTCTCGAAAGTCAGACAGAAATATGATATAAATAAACGGACTGAAACAACTGTTGAAAAGAGGGAAGAATATATAGATGATAAAATCTAGTGACATGTAGTCAATACAGTCTGGGAGAATCCAGATATTACCCCAAACATCCACGTTCACAAGAACACTATTATAGATAAACGTTGGAAACCAGCAACACGTATACAGCATTACGGATGCAAGAACCATTCGTACGGCTGCTTGTGTTCGACGAGCTCTAGCTTTTCTTTGTTCTTGGTTGAGATGGGCGTGGATGGCACGAGGTCTGGACAGTCGTCTTATTGTTGAAATACTAAGTGCGAATATCACAATCGTAAAAATATTGTTCAAACAAAAACAGATCGAAGTAAACTTATCATAGACTTTATACTCCATAATAATACAATACCCCCTTTCTGGGTCCAATTTAAAGTAATACAAATTGTAAGACTGCAATGTCATAGGAATCAACCAGGAGATACCGATTATTGCAAGGATTTTTCTTAATGTGTAAACACGTGACCTTTGCAATGTTCTTCTCGTTGCTCTGAATCGTTCGATGCTGATTATCAAAAGAGTAACCAAGGAGACGTTATATGAGATATGGTTAAGAAGCCACTTTGTCTTGCAGAGAATATCACCAAGGATACCATCAGGATATGTTAAAGATAATTTGTAGTTCGATAGCCAGCCAATATCTTCTGTCAGATTCATAAGAATGAAAAGAGTATCTGACACGGCCATGTTGATGATCAAATGATGCAGGTTCTTGCGTTCTGTGAATTTCATAGCGAGTACTATGACAAAGATGTTTCCTGCAAGTCCTAATGTCATCAACAGTATCACAGCGATGCGTTTTGCATTATACTCTAGCTGTGTGTCAGGTTCTTCGTACTTGCAATAATATCCTGAGCTGTTGTTAGTAGCGTTGTCTGGAATCAGTGAAGAGTTATTCATCTTGGTGCAGCTCTTGTGTCTGGCTCTATCAGCGAAGCAGCAAAACTGTTTTTGATTCAATTGCGCCACCTTATTTATGCCTGACCAAGACGTCGTGGTGGAGCTTAAAAAACAAGCTGTCAATTAATGCAATCGTCTGGTTTTCAAGGTCAGTAATTACACAATTCATAATTAAGTATTTTTTTAGCA